GCAATCCTTTACATGTGTCTCCCAGCTCTGGACTGCCGTGTCCGCCTGTTTGTCTCCCAGCTCTGAACCGCTGTGTCCGCCTCTGCCTTGCAATCCTTTACAATTGTCTCTCAGCTTTGGAGTTACAAAAGGAAGCGCTTGCGTTGGAAACTCTAGACTCTAGTTGCAGAGTGTTCCGATTCTAAAAGATATACTGTTTGGGGTCTACGGCGGTGTAGTTTTGATACCAATTCTCCAGTTGGACAACAATACACACTCAATTAGGATCGAAGCGTTTGCCACATATTTGCGTCAAGGGACCGCAGCCGCAGCAGAAGTGGGCGGAAGGACACGGGCGACCAAAAACATGATGGACACAGAACGCTTGCATAAAGATGACTTGATTCAAGAACTTTCCCTTCCTAGCAGGAGACCTGTAGGTGTCACAAAAAGTAGATCCAGCAATTTACTTCTTGGTCTTATGATATGTGTTGCTAGATCTGGACACCAAGCAAGTTATGTGACTTGTCAATGCAGCGAATGATTTGCTATGTGTTGCGCATGAAACCGTTCCCGTTTTGGAGCACAGACACCTGGAACTTTAAGTCTGCAAGATTGTTTAGGGCACGCGTTACTTTTGCTTTGGGATGGATTCTTACCTGCTGGACATGCTATAACAATTGATGAACTGCATACACGAGGTGCTTGGCTTTGCCTTGAGTCTGACCCGAGTAGTTAATCACCAGGTCTGAGCAAGCACACCCCAACCCACAAATGCAAACTTTGTCCAGGCAAGCACTCTGTCTCCACGGGGGGAAGAGGCATGCCATTTTTCATATCATCTCAGATGCTCATCATAGATTTGCATGTCTCACCTTTTGCGTCCATTTGTCCCTTTCCATTTACTGTATATACGTACTAGTACCTGACCTGTAGGACCGCAAGAAGACGGAGCGCCGCCGGAAGAAGCGTGGCTTTGGTGGCAATGGATGGCCATCGAGCAAAGTCCGGATAGCAAAAACCGCATTTTCAAGAAGGTTTGATCCTGGAATCTTTTGACAGCAGCTGGTCATAGGTTGATCTCTCGGTGCAGTGCCATGTTCTAGCCTGGTAGGAAGCTTCCGAGAGAGCAGGGAGGCTATACGTCTACAACCAAGTCAGCTGAGGAAAGAAGAGCAGCTCAGATAGCCCCTTGGCCACGACCTGCAATATTTCAGCCCCGCCGCGTTCGGGGAAGAAAGCTGGTGACCCCGTCTTGTATCCGCAGAGCTCTGACCACTTTTCTGTTTCAGTGGATTTCCAAGTTTCCAGATTTGAAGTGGCGTTCCGTTAGGATTGGAGACCAGCTAACCTCATTGAGAAAGTGACAGAGCCACACTCACCCTATCCCAAAATGTGTATACAAGTAGTTCCCGGGCAAGCCGGCGGCGGAAGTTTCCTATAAGAAGAAATAGACCTAATAGGAGTGTCCACGTTCTCTCCAACATGCGCGTCCTCCAGTCAAACGCACGCGCTCCGGACTTGTGCCCCCTGCAGGATCAGCAGCTCACAACAGCGTACTGGGTTGTATCTTTGCCACGACAAGAGGGGTGTATGACGAGTGGTGTATGATGAGTGGTGTATTGACCAGCAGTTGAATGTCCTGTCCTGCATAAATGCAACCAAATACTATCAGTATGAACTGTGCCAAACCTGCACGCCGCGAGAGATGACTCAGCAGCGAGAGATGATTCAGCCGCGAGAGATGGCTATAGCGAGAGCTGACTCAGCAGCGAGAGATAAATGAGCAGCGAGAGATGACTCAGTCGCGAGAGATGACTCACAGCAGCGAGAGCTGACTCAGCAGCGAGAGATGACTCCTCCGCGTACTACACTTGTACTACAAACTGGCCAGTTCTCAGCTTCCAGCTCGACAGGTTGTTCCGCGCGCTAAAGTTGTACTAGAAAGTCGCCAGTCAGTTCTCATCTTCCAGCTCCCCAGATGCTCCGCGTACTGCAGTTGTACTACACAGTCGCCAGTTCTCA